ACAATCTTGCTCGTGGGAGCTTAGCCCTCCAAATTTTGTTTCTTTTTTTTGATGAATTAATAGATTGGTCTGTTTTACTTTTAATAAGAGTAAATTCTTTATATGATCCTTTATAATTAGGTTTTTTCATATTTAGTCCTTTACTAATTATTATATTTTCAGTCCATATTAATTTAGTACACTTCCAAGATTGGTCCTCTGTCAACCCTTCCTTCCATCTTTGCTAAATAGAGGGCTATTACTGTACTTTCACTATACTTCTCTTCACGCTTCAAGTTTCAAAACCATTTTGGTGCATCTGATTTTGATGCAATCTTGGCCCTTAGATCTCACAATCTAAAGCACCAGATTCATTCTCATTTCTCTCTTAAGATCGAATTCTCACCAGAACATATATATATATATATATATATGTGTGTGTGTGTATGTTGGTTCTGGTGAGAATACGATCTTGCGAGAGAAATAAGAATGAATCTGGTGCTTTAGATTGTGAGATCTAAGGGCCAGGATTGCATCAAAATTTGGTGCACCAATATGGTTTGAAAATGCATCATGTTGAAATGCACCAAATTCCTTTGAAAATGCACTAACTCAAAATCCGAGCACAAGATGCAATTTGAGCCGCACAATGCATAAGATCCAACGGCTAGATTTTATTCTCATTTCTCTCCACAAGGTGCATTCTCATGGGAATCGACCATACAAACATACACACACACACACATATCTCTGTGTGTGTGTTTGTGTATGTGTGTCGAGATCTAGGGCAAGACGCAGAGTAAGACGATGAGGCAAAGCAAGATGATAGATACAAAGAAGAAGTATTGTGGCTCTTCCAAGAAATTGGAGCTCTTCAGTAGCCTTCTCAGCTCGTTCTCTTCTAACTCATTTGATGCTTGATTGACTAATCGGTAATCGGCCAAATTCCATTGTCTTGTCCACATTAAAACAAAACAGAAAATCATCTAGTTCTTCATCTGTGTCTTCAAGCACCTCATCAACCATTGATTCAGATTCAAAGTCTTTATCATATAGGTCTTCATCAACAGCAGGAAAGTTATCTAATGCATCGCTATCGCTGACTAACTCCTTTAGTCCATTATCACTTTGAGAGTATATACTAATATCTTCTCAATTCTTGAACCCAAAATCCTCAATATATGACTTTATTAGCATTATACCCTATTCATCAAACGATGCTTTAGGAACAACTTTCACAAAACCACCAACTTATCTAGGAAGTGCACCTCCCATACTTACAGACCCGCCAAACATAAACTTTAGTTCATTAGTATTCACTTATTCGAAAATAAATATTTTGTTACTTAAATTTGTTTCATAATGTTATGACTTATGATACAGGCACAGAGTGCGAACTCATTTTTGTATCTCCCTCAAAGCTACTGGGGTCTGGTACGGTACGGCTGATAATGGACGAAATGAGCAAAGGCAGCGATGGTTGGACGGCGGCCATCTCGAACATATCGGAGATAGCGGTTGATCTTGACTCCCTCCAGAAATTGATCGTCAAGAAAGCTGTTTATGTCAACGAAGACACCTACGCAAAAGCCCATCTCACCTCCGAACAAGCCCGAACTATCAAGGTACGATTTCCCCCATATCTGGATCTCGGTCTTTTTCTTCAGTTCGTTGGCAATATCTCCGAATACTTTGACCGATTTTTCCATTGGATTTGATCGATACTGCGATTAGGATTTAGAATTGTGATGCTATTAGCGTGAATTATGCTGGAGAAGCAGAATAAATTGGGGATGATAATTGTCAGATCCAAGCAGCATGATTTTTGGGATCTGTGTTAGAAATGCATCAATCATTATGGAACCCTGGATCGATTTCTTGTTTTAAGCTCAAATGAGGAATTGGATCTTAGTAGATCTCAAGAATAAGAATACCAACTTCAATCTCAGTGTGTTTCTAGGAGCAATTTGATTCATGTCTAAATGAGTTACTCATATTTGCATATGCAATGACCTTAATGGTGGTACCGATTTCAGAATATGTAATTGGAATTTCTACATTCTGTAGTATTTGTTGTTTAGTCGAAAGTACTCAGTAAATGGATTGTTTGAAGAAGTGTCACCTCTGCAATCATAGGTTCTTGAGCAGAGGGTAGATACTTTAGAACGTGAACTAGATTCCGCCATTTCAGCCGCCGCACATGCACGGACAGAGAAACGGCATGCTGAAATAGCACAGAAGGCTGCGGAACTACGGGCACAAGAGATCACGAAAGAGCTTGAAAACACCACAAGTATGCATTTCTTTTTCTTTCTTTTTTTGTCACAACATGTAATTGAAGAACTCTATGAAAATACTTTTGGAACATAGGTGTTGTTTTCTTAGCTCTACACAACAAATTGTGGTTTTGTGTTATTGCTTCATCTTTTCAGAGGTTCTTCTTTACTACATAATTTTTGCTTGCCTTTTTGTTAGAGGGTGAAAGTATGCGTGTCCTGATTTGGGTTGAGTCAGGTTTGAACCATTTTTAGCGGGTCATTTCTCTTCAGTCATCTTTGAGTTCGGTTAACAAAATCTTTGTTCAAAGCCTAGTATTTCCAAGTCAGGTATTGGGCTAGTCGGGTCAATCTCTGCTAGGTTTATCTGCTAGACTTCTATCTAGCCTTTAGCGTCTCTTATCCATCTCCTTATTGTTTTTCTCCTCCCGGTTCGTTTTCTGTGTCGGGGTATCTTTAGGGTAAAGGTAACGGCCGCATACATTTAGCCTCCCCATCCCCCACTTGAAAGATTTACCAGGCTGTAGCTGTATAATAAATTCCACATGTTGGCTCCTATGGATGACAATTATCACATGATTATGGATGCGCTGAAAATCATCTAGTTTTATTGTTCCCAGTGCTTGTCTTTAGACAACACTTTTCTGTTTGAGTTATTTTCAGTTTTGCTTGAACTTGCAGATGTTTTCAAGCTGCACATGGAAGAGTTACGAGCAAAGCAAGAGGAGATTGCAACGCGTGACAAAGATATCAAACTCCTCGAAGCTATAATTCAGACGCTCGGGGGCAAAGACTCGCTACCTACCCGTGACTAAACCAATGTATCTTCTCACTATGTAAATTGCAAATAATAGCGTATGCGAAAATATATTGTATGGAGTAGTATTCATTTCTTTAACACATTCACATTTGATAGGATTGACCAAGATCCGAATTTGAATCGATCTAATTCGAAATCAATTTTTTTTTTAAAAAAAAATTGGATTTAGAATCAAATAATTACGCCTCGGATTGGATCTACTTCGAAGTTGGACCATGTTGATCCAATCACGTGCTAGGCTCAAGTAAAGATAAATCTCAAAGTAGATCCAATCACGACTAGAATACAAGTATATTGGTTTGGGACGTCCCAAAAAAAGTCTTGTCTTTATTTGTTTAGAAAATTTAGAGTGATTTACAATATTTCTCTCCTCTACATCACTGAAAGTCTGTGACAATATATTCTTCTTATAACTCTTTTATAAACTAAATGTTTTCCGTACCTCAAAATTTTTTTGTTCTCTTGCTTTCACCTCTGCATCCACTTAATAGAGTACACAAATTGTCAAGTGCTCTCTTTTGAATTTTTAAAATATGCAGTATTTTCAGTGCCTCTTCCAAAGTGGGGTTTTAAAACCCTCCCCATGTGGCACAATAAAAAAAAAAGAGACATGTGGACATAATATTCCACCTCTTTTCAAAACTTAAATTATTCTTGTTATTTTATTATTGGCCCCAATCAAAAATTAATTTTATTTTATACCATGAATTATTATTTTGTTAATGGCGGGTTAACGGAACAGCATGTTTTGTGCAACAAAATGAAAGTTGGAATTATTTTTAGTGAATTTTTGTTTTTTATTTATTTAAATATTTATTTAAGTTTTTTTAAAAAAAAACTTTCTACATAAATTTCTTTTTCCTTTAAAAAAAATTATTCTTATCTTATAAAAAATAAGTATAAAATATCAAATATAAAAAATAAGTATAAAAATATTAAATATAATATTTCAGTTATTTTTCTCATTTTTGTGATTTTTTATATCTTTTTTTTTATTCATACCCAAAGTTAGACTAATCTTTAAAAGAATACAACAAAATGAAAGTTGGGATTATTTTTAGTGAATTTTTGTTTTTATTTAAATATTTATTTAAGTTTTTAAAAAAAATTACATAAATTTGTTTTTCCTTTTTTAAATATTATTCTTATCTTATAAAAAATAAGTATAAAATATCAAATATAAAAAATAAGTATACAACATTAAATATAAGATTTCTGATACTTTTCTCATTTTTGTTATTTTTTATATCTAGTTTCTTATTTATATCCAAAGTTAGACTATTATTTAAAAGAATACAAATGATGGAAATCAAACTAAAGATGAGAAGTAGACATATTTGAAAAAAGAAAATGAGATTTAAGGTTTCCTTCTGATATATACTTCGTTAAAAAAATAGATATAAAAAATAACAAAAATGAGAGAAATGACTGAAATCTTATATTTAATATTTTTATACTTATTTTTTATATTTGATATTTTATACTTTTTTTTTATAAGATAAGAATAATATTTTTTAAAAAGGAAAAAGAAATTTAAGTAGAAAGTTTTTTTTAAAAAACTTAAATAAATATTTAAATAAAAAAATCACTAAAAATAATCTCAACTTTCATTTTGTTGCACAAAACAGACTGTTCTGTTAACCCACTGTTAACAAAATAATAATTCATGGTGTAAAAATAAATTAATTTTTTATTAGGACCAATATTGAAATAACAAGAATACTTTAAATTTTTAAAAGAGATGAAATATTATGTCCGCAAGTCTCTTTCTTATTGTGCCGCATGGGGAGGGTTTTAAAACCCCCACTTTGGAAGAGGCACCGAAGAATTGGCCAGTTCCATTAGGTGGAAAGCTCAATTACAAAATTCCAAAAACATGTGGAAGTCCAAAATTAATAATACCAAAAAGGGGCATCCACAAAAAAAAAGTCATTCATAATAGACTGGTTTAACTTGGTCCTCTAAAAATAAAAAATAATATCAGCATAAAATCTTAGAAATAAAGACAATTCTCTGGTTATGAGGTAGTTTCTGCTGTAGAAATACGTTTACTACCAGGCGGGCAGAAGCACAAATAGTTGCAAGATAATCAACAAAAACAATATCGTTCCGAGACACGATACCCTCATCATCTTTTACTTCTGTTTCTTCTTACGATCACCAAAGGTCGGAAGTAACGGTCTTTTCTTGGTAAATGCTTGAGTTTTGCTTTCAGATTCCTCATCGTCCGTGTCGCCCTTTTCTTCAACCTTTTGATCTGCAGCGGCCTTTCTGTCAACTTTCTTTTCTTTAGCATTCAGCGTACCACGCAACTTTCTTTCTATGGGATCGTCTGAACGAACATATGTGGGCCCCCGGGGAACTGTAGCACCAATTCCAAGCCTGTGAGATAGAGAAAAGCTTGGGGTAAAGGCCTAAAGGGGACTCGAACAAGGGAGAACTACCTGACTAGGACTAAAACATGCTCCATATACCAAAACAAGACGTTCAATGATTTTATACCAAAATAGGACTTATAATGCCAAAGAGTTCCAATATTTGATGCCAACAAACACTATGAAACACCAACATACAATGCCAAGTTGTGGCATTGCACAGTCCCAACACTCTTATTTAGGGGATAAAAACATAGGAGGTCCTATTTTGGTATAAGTTTAATCCTTATACCAAAAGATACTAACCTAGGAGGCCGCGCCTCTAGAATAGCCGCATTTGATTTATCATCGTCCAATGATTTACCCATGTTATTAACCCATTGTTCGGCCTGCAATCGGTCATTCAAAACAAGCAAAAAGAAAAAAACAATGTGTTCTTCGTTAGCCACTTACGATATGAAAGAAACTATAAAACTAGGCATAAATTGGTTTATACATGTGAATCTGCAGACCAATAGCATAAACCCCAAAGCAATGGTTTTATAAAGCATATAGATGGAGTCAATAAACACTGAATAAATCGCTTTAAATGACATTTGGCAAGACCAAGAATGCCAATGGACATCTTGAAACACAAAGGGTTCTATAAAACAAAATAGACAGAGGCTATAAACACTGCAAAATCATTTCAATAACATTTGCAAGAAAATCAAGAATGACTTTACCAATTTGAATCCTCTGTCCAACTTTACCAATTGAGCTCGTGATGTTTTCTTTGACGTGCCTTCTGTAGTCATCCCAATTGTTTTCTAACCTAATCAACAAGGCACCCACAAATGAATTTCTGTCTATATAAAACATTCTCACTCAATCTTGTAGAAGGTGTAAAACATAAATAGCTTTTTGATTGATCCCTTAACATTCTGCAATCACAAAACCAGACAAATATATAGATGAACAAAACTATGGCTCTATGAATGTAAAACACACACACACACACAGTACAAACTCACAAACATAAATACCCTCCAGGACACTAATTTTATCCCGGAGACCAATAGACATCAATAATAATCTTACACTATGCATATAGAATACATCCTTACAATTGGCAGCACCAACCTTTCATTTTTCAGAACGGCTTATTATAACATCATCACTAATGGTAGCAAAAGCATCTCTCTCCCTGTATGTAACTAGACAATCACTTGATCATATTGTTTGACAAAAGAAGCATAAATACTTTGTTTTGGTTCACTAAATTTTCACCCCTTTTTACTGAACTAAAATGCGGGCTATTTGGTCCACCGACATGAATGTCAAACCTAACTTTTTTGTTCCAACTCGTGAACCCACTTCCTACAAAATGGTTTCCGCCCGTCACCCACATTTGTAAATAAGTAACATTGCAAACAAAATGCAGCATCTTTGGCAATGCTATATAACCTATATTCCAAATTCTGACCAAGAATAATTATCAAACCAGGATAAGCAAATCTACGTCCTTTTTTGATCCATTAGTTTAAAGGGAAATTCATAGTTTCAGTGACCATTTGTTTAAAGGGTAAATGGGCAATTCACAGTTTTGGTGATAATCAATAGGTTCTCTTTTGTAAGTTGTGACCCCAAATGAGAATCAAGATTCTCTTCACACTGTTTGTCAATTCTCATTCAAAAGGATTTTAAATTCACCAAACACTAGTTTGGTTCAAGGAATCTGGAAGGAAAAGAAAAGAAAATGATTTTCTCTCTTTTTCCTCATCAAAATGAGAGAAATTTGGTTTTCCCTCCTCTTAGTACATTTTGCCTTCTCATTTTCTTTTCCTTCCACTTTCTCCTTCTTTTCCTCTCTAACCAAACAAGAAAAACAGTTTTCCACTTTATTTTCTTTTCTTTTCCCATTCAAATTCCTTGAACCAAACATAGTGTTAATGTTTTCCTCTAACAATTGATTTAAAGGCTAATAAGCATTCAAATTCAAGTTAGAAGGATCCTCACTTGATTCAACCTCTTTGGAACTTAGCATATTTTTTAAAATACCTTTGCATCCTAATTTTAAAAATAAAAAATAATGCATTTAATTAACATTTTAACAATTAATTTAATTAAAAAAATCATTACAATTTTATAGTGAAATCTAAGGATTGTCACATTGTCAGCAATAGGGATAAAAACATGTGACTCCTATTTTGGAGATAAAAGCTATGTTTTACTCCTGTTTTGGTGATTTCTTTGAAATCAAACCTAATCAAAATTCATAGTTCCGAAATCCACAAATTACAATTCCACATAACACAATTAACATATCAAAATGAATAAATATATAAAACAATTAAACAAATAAGGAGAGTCAAAGACCGGTGTACTCACCTTGATAGTGGCTGGATAGTGTTGGCTGGGGCGGCGGCTGCAGGCTGAATTGTGGGCACTGGAGCAGCTGCCGGCAGAATAGCTAAATCTTGGGGCGGCTAACAGCTAAATCGCGGCTGAATGGTGCGGCGGCTGCGGATTGCTCGCCACCGTGCTCGGTGCTTAAGCGTCCGCCGCTCTTCAGTCGGCAGAACTTGGGAGACGGAAAAGATGATGCGAAAATTCACGAATTCCAAAAAAAGAGAAAAGCTCAATAAGTTGGAGTAAAAGAAAATAAAAATACTCCGCATCAAAATAAGAATAACTACTACCACAGTACCACCCAACTAACTGCCAACAAGTTAATTTTTTTTTGAAAGAATATAAATTTAATTATATAATTTAGTTTAATATATTAAATTTGTTTAATATTTATTTTTACTCAAAATAATATTTGCTAGTTTATATTAAAATGCTTCATAACATTGTTATTAGTACTCAAAAAAATAAAAATAAAATTATCTTGCATTCCAATCTTACTGATCTGAACAAGACACCATCTAATTTTGAACTAGACAAAAGTTATACCGGTCCACAATTTTTGGACTAGAAACCACCGAATAGAAAACAACGAATCTAGTCCAAAAATAAACAAATTTTTGGGTCGTCCTGTTTTCTAGTCCAACCCGGATTGCTAGTGTGTCTACAAGACAGTATATATAAGCTTGAGCACGATTAGAGTCTGGGTCCATTCCGATTCTGGAATAGCTGATTCCCGGTATTGTAGGGCTGACACTGCACCGATGATAACCGCTACAGTCTCGATTTGGTTCCTGGTTTCATTCTGGGGATTGGTTTTAGGTTATTTTTTAAATTAGTTAACATTAATTTAACATTGTGAATTTTTTGTATTTGGATTTTAGAAAAAAATCAAACATTAAGTTCTAATCAAATTATTCATGTTTGATATGGTAACCTAAAGATATTTTAAAATTCAAATTATTCAAATTATTTAAGTTTGATATTGGAAATGTAAAATTGTACGGAGAAAAAATTGAAATGTAAAATTGTAAATTGAAGTAATTAAATTATTCAAAGTTTTAATATGTTTTGTTAAGTCTAGTTTCCACTTTAGTACTTTACAAACTACGGAGTACAATTTATCAAATTAAGCAAAAGATTTAAATTTGACTAGAGAAGTGGATGTCACGACAAATAGTTCAAATGAAACAATGCTTTCGCCACCGTTGGGTTTGAACTTCCCCATGAATCTTGGAAATTTGGTTTCCTACCATACAAGTCCAGGGAGAAGTTTAATATTTAATATTTCAATTGAACTATTTCTCGTAACATCCACTTCTCTATATGATTATAGCTTTCATGAAATACTTTTCATCGAAAACGTAACCCGCTTCTTACATTTCTTGTCCTCGATTGTTTTTTATATTTTAGAACGAGTCTCGGTTATACAAATATTTAAATGTCTAACGAGTGTTTTTTGCGATTGTTTTTTTCGTGGCAAATATTAGCAATGGAGTTGCTCTTGCTCTTTTTCCGTAGCAACTTTTTACAACGGAAAATATAGTCTCAAATTTCTGATGCAATATGTTGCATCAGTAATACCGTAGCAAACTGTGGCAACAGAATGACTCTTGAAGTTATTACGTAGCAACAATGGGCAATGGCAATTCCGTTGCAACACTTTGAAGCAAACATACTGCAACAAAAATTCCGTTGCAGAAGTGAAATTGCAACAATGGTTTTTGCTACAGCACAACTGCAACGAAACTCCCGTTGCAATCACCATTAGCAAAGAAAATATTTAAAAAGTGCAACGGAAACCGTCATTGCAATTACGTCATATTTTTGTAGTGAATTTGAATAGCCATGGAGTTTCACAATGTAAAGAAATCCAAAAGACTCCATGTTGAATACACCCCCTAAGACTTTTAGAAGTTTCTATATCTTAAAGTGACTTGTTGTCCAATAAGACTTGAACTTGGGAGATGCAATTGAAGAGGTTGGGAATGTATTTGGGTCGGGTCGGGTGGGAGGGTTTTACCGGAGGTTTAATTTAAGAAGGTAGGAACCGTCAATTTTACGAACAGAGCACCGTAGTGCCCCCAAATCATCCCGTGACACGGGGTTCCAATGTTATGGGAACTCCTCCGTTCTTCTTTCAATGTTTAAAAAGTGTACATTGCATTATTTTACATGCATTACATTATATTTTTAAAGTAAATTTGAAATAGCATATTGAAATATTTGCACTAAATACAACTAAAACTTAAGTCATTTTTCTAAATAGCACTTAAATTGTTTCATTTCCTAAATAACACTTAATAATTGTCCATAATGTTCCGTGATGGCAAACATTTACTTGAATGATGACTAATGGATAATTATTAAAAGTGCTGCAATGGGAAAAAACACATGTGATGCTATTTAGGGAAAGTCATTATGTTTTAGTGATATTTACGTAAATTCTCCATAGCATATTTTTATAAACATTTCAATATTTACACGATCAAATTATATATTCTTTATTCACACATTTTTATTAAATTAGTGAGCATTTATTTTGTAGACTTATTTATAAGTTTTTTAATATATTATTTTTAGTTTTTAACTTTACACGCATTTTTGAATATTTTAAATTAAAAACAACATCAATAAAACATCATAAACTAAAACAGAATTTTAATTTTTTGATCGGAGAAATACTTAACTAGGGATAAATCATACTTCATATACCAAAATAAGACTTTTAATATTTTTTGCTCAAATGAAACTTAAAATGTTAATTTTTTCTACACATAATGTCAAACATACTATGAAATGTCACTATGGGCGTTAAAATGTGAAAATCCTCCTATTAGGGATTGCAATTTATACCTGACTCGACGGATACTCGATGCACCCAACCCGCTCTCATGGATAAAATTCCGAAGAAAAAGAGTGATGGACGGATGATGGATGGACTAATGATGGATCGGGTCAGATGCAGATGAAGCGATATCTCACCCATCATCTGATCCATCACTTGACACATTCATATTTATTTTAGAAAAAACTAAAATGGTATTTCATACTTGATACATATCATATCAACACGTGCTTTCATTGTTGCTCTCATGTCTTCTTCAACGCCTTCTACCGACCGCAAACAGTCGTCATTGACTCTTGAAGGCGTGATGCATGCCATAGCGGACCTCAGACCTTAACTACACACCACCAAAGTCCGGGTCGCTAAGATAGCGACGTGGAAACGCCCAGTTACAGATGAAGGGCGACATAATCCTTCTCACTCTAATCTTGGATGGCGTCCTCCGCCATCTCGTACTACGCCACTGCGGTTGGACCCTGTTTCACGGATGCGCGTGGGTGCCCTAAAATTTTCCAGTGATAATCCCACTGGATGGATATTTCCAGTACCCTTTTGACGATGGAATTCACCTTGGCGAGGGAGCTTTCTGCATGCCACCAGGAGGCCGTCACAACGTACAGCAGTGGGTCACGTCGTGCTAGGTCTACGCGCCCGCCTCCATCAACTGGCGAGGGAATTTTACTGATGTCGCCTTTGTATGGCCGTCAACCTCTCGCAACCAGCCACAGCAGCGACAAACCCGCGAACCTTCCGATTGCCTATTTGACAAATGCTAAAAAAGTGGAACATAATAACATAGGGTTGTGTTGGTATTGTGATGAGATGTGAGTTCTGGGACACAACTACAAGCGTCATTTTCTACTACTTATGGGACTTGACGAGGATGACGACTCTCCGCCTTGAGGACAAGTTTGGTTCTAACCCCGGGGGAGTTGACATGGGCTCAACCGAGGCTGTTTAGGAGCGGAAGAAAGTAGCGAGACATCCTTAAAGGAATGTCGGGCCACCCCGGTGCTATCAAGACTACATTTGATATGATTTATTATTCTTCTGTGTAATGTAGTGTTTTTAGTGAGTAAATTATAAGCTTCTTTGAGGATTTCTTTTTAATTCTTTACCTCGATGCTTTTTTTAAACCGCCAAGAGAGACAATTAGTAATTAGGGTTTGGGGAAACATATCATCTATAAAAGGACGATATGTAAGCCTTCGATAGGTGAATAATAATAATAATAATAAACTCCCTTTCCCCCTAAACTCTCTTCTCCTAACCTTAAATTCTCTCCTTCCTATGTCTCTCTCTCTCTCTCGCTCTCCCTCTCTCTCAAACTCATTCAGCACTCTTCCTCCGCTCTCAACAATTTGATGCTAGCGAGAGACATTTGATACATCTCATATCAGTTTATCAGAGATTTGTAGGGTGGCAACAACAATCGTAAATGGAGAAGGAAGGAGATGACAACGAAGAAGGTTTGAAGAGGAAGAAATTAATGGGAAGAAGGAGATGGCGGAGAAAAAAGAAGTAGAGGAAAGAGATGAAGTATATGAGATGAGGGTAAAAAAATACTTTACTTAAAAGGAAAGGGTAAGAAAATTTGAACATAGTGAATAGTGAGAGCAAGAAAATTTTTTGTTGGGAGGTTTCCCTCACATCAGAAAACAAACAACAAAGTGTCCAACATTTAAGTTCCATGGTCTCTCCTCCTATCGCCAATTGATTTTAGGATGGAACTCTCATGGGCTTGCGTGTTGAGCCTATCGCAAAAGTGCGCACGAATCGACGTGTATTCCCCCACGCTATGATTGGCCCATCGATCTTTTATCGTTTTTGTATGGAAGGGTATGAAAAAACAAACAATAATGTTACGTACTTGTACATCACATTGGTATTACCATTTTGCACAAAATTTCAGTGCAAAATTGTCATTACCCTAGTACAAAGCTTTAGTGTACAAAATAGTCTACAAATTGTAGTATATATACCTCGAAAGACAAAGGGTCCTAAAAGTATTGGTAGTGCCTTTTAGTTGGGGGCACTAAAGAAGATAAGCATTTGGGGTGAATTATATGAAAGACAAAAGGGTCCCTCAACAGTTGTCTCCTTTCTTCATCACTCAATGCTGCTTTGTTTCCTTCTCTGCACACCCCTCCCCCATTGCTCCCTTGTTGGCACTTACCTTCCCCACCCCCACATTCTTCAATAATGCAATGCATTTTCTATCTCTGTCTCTGGATGAGTTTCCCTTTTCTTAGCTCATTCAGTCTCTTGTGATCTCTTGAAATGTGCATATAAATATGGTTTAGATTCACTTTGATCTATCTGTACTCTCTCTTGAAATTTGAAGATTTGATTGATATCATCTTAAAACAAGCACTGTTTCTGTCCAGTCGAGTCAAACTGGACAAACTTTAAACTTCAATTACTCTCAATTTATATTGCTGAAAGAAGTCAAACTGGACAAATACACTGGGACGGAGGAAGTATTTATGAATGTCCGTAAAAAGATTAGAGTCAAATCTGGGTACCTACAATGTATAAAAATAGTTCTATTTCGAGTTTTTTCTTTTCAAAAATGAGCATAAAAAAAGATAACTAATGAATTTTGAAAGAGAAGGACGAACAAAATAAATTTTGAAAGCATAGAAAATAACAACGTATATTTATCGAAATACAAAAAGATACCATGTCAATAAACTAGAAAGGAGCATGCTACATGTACCCCATATTTGTACTCTATTTTGTATCCCAAAGCATTACTCTCACATTAAGTGTAGGTGCATCATTGGAATAATACTAGTTTTGCATCTACATTTAATGTCAGGGTAATGCTTTGGGGTACAAATATGGGGTACAGTTTTCAACTAGAAAAGTAAATGTTTTTAGAAACACGGAGGGCCCACACAAAACGGATTGAATCCTGTGGGGCTTCAAATGGCTTAAGTAGACGCCAAGTTCGTTAAGTGTGTCAAAATATGCATAAATTACATTCAATTGCTCTTAGCACACACTACTCCCACTATCTTCTTGCATTTTTCGTCCGGGAACAATTTTTTGAACAACTAACCATCTATTTGATGAGTTTGGAAGAATTGATATGTTATGTGGTTTGAAATTTGAGAGAAATGATATAAGAAATCATTCTGAACAGAAGTAAAACATAGATAAAATATTAAAATAGGAACACCATGTTTTAATCTCCAAAATAGGAGTTCGCACTTCTGTCATTGCATATGGACATTTCACAATAGTTTTTAGTAATGTATATAGTCATGATATGCACTGTAAATGTATATTAATTTTTATATCAGAAATAAAAACATGAAACTCTTATTTTAATATATTTCAAATGCTTTACTCTCACTTTAGTGTTTTCCCAAATGATATAGATTCTAAAATTATACATAGTAATTTTTAGTGATTAACGAGACGGACCGACAATAGAAAATGATCAGTGGCGACGATGATGGTAGCCCTTGGTTGGTTTAAGGAGATATCAAAAATTTATATTATCTTCTGAATTTGAGAGACATAGAAAAACCAAAATCTGTTTAGGCTTTACCAAATATCAAGATACAAAGAATGTGACATTTCACTATACAAAGATAACGGAAATTTTTATTTATTTGAATATTTTCATCGATTATTTGATAAAATAAAATATTTTTATCGCCTATTGTTTTGAAAACTTTTGATGTGGTTTTTAAGAATTTAAATTTTATATTTAATTTCTATACCAAATCTTTAAATAAAGTAAATTTAAAAAAAACTTAACATTTTGCTACATTTACTTTGAGTAGTGTGACAAACATTTTGGGATGGATGGTTTATAAAAAGGTGTAGGGCAATTTAACTCAAGCGTAGGACCTCTAGAACCAGTCAAATAATTTAAGGTTTTATCACAACATGACCAATAAAAATACTATTTCGTCACATAAACTTCTTTTCCTTTCTTTTTTCTTGTCTACTGCGGAGTAAATCTTAACATATTTATCGCATATATTAAAACTACTCTCAATATATATCCCCTTTTGGCAAATGGCAACCCTAAGGAAACCAATTGTGGGCCCACATTCAGCCAACTCATACCCAATCTACAACAACCGCAGACCCATACCCAAAATGGCTTCAACTAGGACACAATCAAGAGAAGTACCACAGGCCTCAAATTACAGCACTTCAAACATTCGAGCATGCCCAATTAGAGTGAGATGGTAGTGGTGGAGGGAGGGAGAGGCATGGACCCCACCACCTCCAAATAAACTTTACTATTTTGTACTCTGTATTCTTTTAGGATCCGTTTGGTATAAGGAATTGGTGGAATTGGAATTGAATTGGAATTGAAATTCTATGGGATTCAATTCCATAGAATTGAATTCTGTCAATTTCAATTCATTTTTTGCACTATCAATTCCAAATCCACATAATTTTTGTGCAACCAAACACCAGAATTGGAATTGAAGTCTCTAATTCCAATTCCATAGTTTGAATTCCATGTACCAAACGGGACCTTAGGCTCTGTTTGGTACACCGTTTCACATCATCTTTAATATCTGTTAGGAGTATATATATTTTAGTGTAATTGAAAAACCTATGACCAATGGTATCCTAATAATCATCAAAGAAGTTTGGTGGTGCGGAGTGCACGCTTTGTCAAGTTTCTTGAGATAAACTCATAAAAGTTCCGTTTTAACAGGGGTTCCAAGGGGGGGCAGCGCCCTGTTGGCGGGGGTTCCAAGGGGCAGCGCCCCTGGCAGAGGTTCAGGGGCAGCGCCCCCGAGAAGGGTTCAAGGGGCGGCAGGGTTCATTTGAATTTTTAATTTTCGATTTTTCCTTAAGGGAAAAGATCAAAAACGGATAGCGTCTTTTTCTTTAAAGACTCGCACTTAGGGTCGCGTGCTATTGGAAGAGATGCGACCGCATATCAACAAACTCCTGCTTCTCATCCCCTCCGCGTCTATAAAATGCCGTTGTTCCATGGTCGCCAGTATAGTTCGATTTTTCACAACAGATCAATACTTGTTCTTGATAACGTTGAGTTTTATCCAATTGAATTTTGGATTGAACTCCCAAAATATTCGATCTGAAAGTGTTCAACACGACTATCGATTTATCCGCGTTATACTTCTCGTCTATCCCCAACAATATCTCACCATCTGTACCATCCATCTTAAAAATTTAACAATTGTACTGTCAGAGACAAATATGAAAAGTAAACAATATTTTTACATTCATCAAGAACGTAAATTTGTGATATTTTCTCTGTCAAGAACCTAAAGAGGGGGAGGAAGGAGTATATATCATCTTTATGTTCCCCACCCACAAGATACCAGCCCTACCACCAACAATATTTCCAGCATTTCATGCCTTAGCCCATGTGCCTTGACAGATACATTCCCATCTCACTAATATCATTCAAGCTGTGCAACATTATATTGCAAGCCAAGCATAACTGACCCCCCTCCCCCTCACACTTTTAATATTCTCTGTGTAAAAATAAAAGAAAATATATACTACAATGACAATTCAGCAGGGTGGCATATGATTAATGAAGTTGTACATTTATCTCTTCAAATGTACAAAAGGGTGAATAAAAAAACTGCATAACTTTCTTTATTTTGGAAAAAGGGCATTGTGGGGATGAAATGACCCATGATAGAAAGGGTAAATTGGGCATTTCATTTCTTTCTTTTTTATAAAAAAAATCAAAGAATCTAATGGGAGAGAGAGAGAGTGTGTGTGTGTGTATGTGTGTGTGTGTGTGTGTATATATATGTGTGTGTGTGTGTGTGTGTATATATATATTTGTGTGTGTGTGTGTGTGTATATATATATATATATATATATATATATATATATATATATATATATATATATATATATATATATATATATTTGTGTGTGTGTTTGTGGAGAGAGTAGACCAAGCATTATGTTGGGTTCAACCTACCAAGGCCCTCTCTTGAATGTATGATATGATATACTCATATAGATAAATAAAACTCCACAATATAATAGTGGGGTAGTGAGAGTCAATGTTAAGTAAGAAGAAGAGGGCATGGCAAAGAAGAAGAGGAGCTGGTGCAATGTACTGAAAAGGCTTATTCTTCTGAGGAGGGAAGCCACATTAGAAAAGGTGAAAGAAAAAAAAAAGCCAGCAATGAATTGAAAATCAACATATTGTGTGTCTGAACACTAGAAACTGATGCATAATACCTTTTGTATTGTCCATTTATGGCAGGGCAAGAGAAAGAGGCCATTTGGAAGGCTGAAGATCAAATGGTCATCCCTGTTCTCTACGCCGCCGCAACCCCAGCCACAGACTGGTCATGAAGAAGGAGAAGAAGACCAGCAGCAGAAGAATTGCGTGGCGGTGACTGCAGAACCTGCAGAAACTCCACAACAGTACAGCTATAGTTATGATAGGCAGATTCTGAATCTTGCTTCCATCAAAATCCAAACAGCTTTTCGTGGTTTTCTTGTAAGTATGAATACATATGCTTACAAACAACATCCAAACAGATTTTGTTGGTTAGAAAAATAGTAAGGTAAGGCAGGATCTAAGTGGAATTAGGCATGGCATATATAAGACATGCTATGTTTGGCTTTACCTTTAGCGTTTTGAAAATGTTATCCAACGGTAGCTTTTAGCATTGGCTTTTTTCTACGTTGATCTGCACCATTAAAAATTTATTCAAAACATTAACAGTAATCCCAAACGAGGCAATATGACCCCCCCCCCCCGTCCTAGCATTAATGTGGCTTCTTTTTTTGCAGGCAAGAAAAGCCTTGAGAGCGTTGAAAGGGCTAGTGAGGCTCCAAGCAATCATTCGGGGACGAGCTGTTCGGCGCCAAACTATTGACACCCTCAAGCGCTTGCAGTCAATAGTTAGCATTCAATCAGAACTCCATGCGCAAAGCTGCAACTTAGTGAAGAACACAGCAGACTTACAAGAAAAGCAATACCAGGATATAAAGGTGAGAAAAGTACAACACACCTGGCTCAACAGTACAAGGAAAACATACCATCTTGACCTTGGCATAGTGGCAAAACCCACTAGAAAACAGCTTCTGTTTCATTTAGGGCTTGTTTGGTTAGGGGATTTGAGGGTGGGGGAGGATTGATTAATGTTTTACTCATTTATCTCCATTTGTTAGCCTTAGACTACAAAACAACTGCATGTTTAGTTGAAAACATGCATTTCTACAACAACATTCAAATATCGAGAAAAGACCCACAAAAAGTAAGGTCTAGGGGGGCTAAACATGTATTTCTATATACTCCTGTAATTTTTTATAGTTTAATTTCTTTCCCACCATTGAAACGTAACCCAAAAAGGGATGAGTGACTGTTTCATCAATGCTCTTTATGTGTGCAGATAGATATGAACAGCCACAGAGGCTGGGACAATAGAATTCTCTCAAAGGAAGAAGCAAATGCTATGTTCTTAAGCAAGATGGATGCTGCCATTAAGAGAGAACGCATAAGAGAATACTGGTTGACTCATAGAGTAAGTAAAGTTAGAAAATTAATTTCTGCAAACTCTTATGACCACCGAAAAATCCCACTATACATGACAAATTAATATATATAAACATTTTCCAGAGATCATCAGAGGGAGAATGGAGACCACAGATAAAGCAGAGATATTGGTTAGAGCAATGGGTAGATGCTCAGCTAGCGAAAAGAGAAGATCTTGTGAACCTAGATACAGATATATGTGCAGGTGCAAGAATGAGAAACGAGTTTGAGCAAAGGGAATCAAAGACGATTTCTCTGAAACAATACAGGTGCGAAGGAACTCCAAGAAGATCATTTCAGCATAAGAGGCAACATTCTATAGGGGATGACAGTCCGAGGGTGTCTCGGTCTGTGCCAACTTACATGGCTGCCACAGAATCAGCAAAAGCAAAAGCAAGATCTTTGAGCTCACCAAGGATGAGGCCGATGAAGTTTGATGCCTATTCTGACATTAATTCCCCATACAAGTACAAGCTCTCTCCTATATCATCTATTAACAGCGAGATGACCGTAAAGAGCAAGGTTCTGAATCCTTCAAGTTTGTCACAAAGATCGCCATGCTTGAAGAGCATAGCTGCTCCTGTAAGATCAAGCAGAAGTCTAAAGAATGTTAGGCTGGAGTCAGATTTCTGACTTTAGACAGCAACATTTGTAACATTTGGGTGCTTTCTTACATGCATATTTCAGTTCATAATAAAATCAGTGCTGAAATTTTTCTTCTGATAACATGAAAGAATACTTGAGTGCCAAACAGGGGACTGGAAAAACATACAAAACATTGTAATTGGTAAATTACATAACCAGGACTCAGATCCCAAATTGGGAACCCCCATTAGTAATTTTTATTTTATTTTTGGATACAAAAATTATCATTTGAACTTTATAATAATTCTATGGGTATTGAAGAAAAACAATTCATTGAATTTAACAGGGTTGAGAGAAAAAAGGAACAAAACAAAATATTTAAGAGGTTCAAAATGGGGAGAAGAGTTATCACCAGACATATAAATTAAAAATTGCTTTTAAACAATTCTAACCAACTTATAAGCAAAGAGAAACACTCACTTCATCACATCTCCAACTTCATTTTCTTCTTATTTTCTAACTTTAACAAGCATACAAGACTAGACATAAGATTCATGCATATGTAGTAATACACATGTTGAATACCATAAATGCCCAAGACATCTAACAAGTTCACCTTTATCATTTTCAAAAACCACTTGCCTAGTTATACTTTCTCATGCATAACTATACTAACCATACCAACATTAGAACTCTTACTTACACACAACTTCATGCACATATACTAATTAGCATAAGAGACTTTTTTGAAATTTATATGGATTGATCTCATCACACCCGTAACACTTTTCATTACCAAAAGGTTAATCTCTAACCCACTAAAGAAACACAAAAAAACGGTTCAGAAAACTACTTCTCTTTAAAAGAGAAAGTCCTTATACAATGAAAAATAAATGATCAGAAAAATTCATTTTCGATAATCAAACGGATCTTAAGTAACAAGGAAAGATTATAACTTACATATATCTGAACCAAACTGTATAAAAACATACAAGATTACAAAATTCAGTTGTCTTGTTTCAAAAATAAGCAACTGAATAAGAACACTGAGGGTACATTTATACACTAGTTCTGGATGCTGTATAACAGATGACCTTAAAACATCCCATTGGCCGATAATGCAATTAATTTGCATACACGATCTCCCTGGGGGGCATAACTTGACTGGCGAAAGACGTGGGAGTAAAAATAACACAGCAGAGTGACATCTGAGTGGGATCGAATCCATTTAGAGAACATCCTCTATGGAAGTGAATGGAACAAAGACCCCCGTCAGTCAAGACATATTTGGTGATTGGCGTTCTACATTAAAGATATAGGACTCCATCTGTTATACTCTATGTAATAGCACTGATAGAGTCATTTTCACCTGTGAAAGATTCCATCTTTTATCCGTGAAACGTGAATCATTTATACTCTTTTGAGTTCTCCATTTTCCTCCAATGGTAAGATGCTCCCTCTTCATCTCCTTGAAACCTTGAACTTTTGAACCATGAAGTATGGTATGAAGAGAATTCCCTCTTCTTTGAACCACCATAGAAAGACTCCCTCCCAGCACTGGATCTCTCAGACTCAAAATATGGGGGCTGGTGACTCTGACTACCTGCCGTTGTCCAATTCCTACAATTGTTTTCCCATTGCCGCAATCCTTCTTTTTTTGGAGCTCCACCTCCTCGAGCTGTGTTATTTCCCCAAGCATCACAATAATTACCCATGTTCCACACTTTGTGGTCGATATCACTTCGAACATTCTGCATTTGGGAACCATTGTGGTTCCTAACATTCCAAGCATTTTGACCCCATGAGGTATTCTTGTTATCACCCCAATCTTTTTGGCTTGTGCACCAGGCACTCCCACTTTCATTATTCCAAGAACTGCTCCAAGCATTATCGAGTCCACATGACGGGTTCTGACCCCACGAGTCATTTACGCCACTTATCAATCCAGGGCTCTTGGAAGACCCTCTAGTTCTTGTGTGATTCTCCTCCCACGGATTAACACTTTTCAATTTTTTTGAGCGATCGGAATCAGTCTCGCCGTCCTTAGGATTTTTATTATCTGGTGATGTTGTCCATTCAGAAATATCATCTAAGTTGTTGACCTCTGCTTCATCGGAATTGAAAATTTTCCGCTCTAAATCCAATATCAATTCTGGATCAATATATACATTCCAATCAACTTCATCAACATACTTACAGGGGTCAGGCAAGGGGTTATCACAGGGAAGGCCATTAATCTTAGCCCAATATCTTGTTTTCGCCTCACCAAAAGTTAATTGACTAGCAGAATCATTCCACTTAACCACATTATCAAAGCAGCAAATGTACTTCTTCATATTGACAACCTTATGCCAAGGCATTCCCACAGATTTGCAGAAGTCTATCTCCCATGAAGGCACACTATTCTCCAGAATAACTACAGAGATCAGAAAGAAAATTCATTTAGAGGTCATACTTACACATATTTACAATATAATTACACATTTCATTTTTGAAATGATCAAGAGTCAAATAGTAAATGCGAAAATATGGATCTTATTCGCAACTGGTGCAAAACTGCAAATTCACCATAGGCAACACTAATGATTAATAAAAAGTTCCCATATCAGACCATCGCTAAGGCGTGCAAATGTCAAGGCTGAGAACCTTGTACATGTACTAATTTATCTGTTTTACACACAAAACTGCAACCCTTGGCTAACTACGTAGGTAATATATCTTTTTACCACATAGCTAAAGATATACAAATCGCAATCCCAGAATTGAAATGTTAACTACTTCAAAAAATACAATTATCAAATGTGCAGAAGAGACTTGGTAAAATAATCAACTGTAACAATCATGCAAAAACACCCATCCTCGCACTCCTTTTCCATTAGGTCCTCTCTTCAACCACTTTGGAATTTCTATTCACATTTACTTCTTTTCAATTCAATACCAATCCTCCATTACTTCGAAGTTAATCTCTTAAAGTTCTAATGCTCTGTTAGGTTTGAGGAATTCAGAAGGGAAAAGAAATGAAAATGGAAGAGAGAGATAATTTTGGTGTTTGGTTAGAAAGGAAAGAAAAGAAAATGTATGGAAAACTTAAAGTGAAAAATGGAAATATGTTTTTCCTTTCATTTTTGTGAGGAAATTAGAGAACACAAAATTCCTCCCTTCACACTGCCATATAAGCAAAAAAATGAATAAATAAATTCTTTGATCCGCAGTAATTTGCCAACAATCCACATGTATATCCCCAGCAAGCGCCGATTTCACAGAAATCATCAACAAATCAAATACTGAAAATTAAAGACCCACAACAGTTAAATTTCAAAAACAAGATCTTGAAGAGTCGGAGAGAATAGAAGATACCGGAATGAGTCTCATCGTCAGCAGGTGGAAAATTCTGATACTGATTGAAATTTCGTCTGGGAATGTATCTCCGATTCCATTTTCCCATCTGGAGTTGTTAGACTATAGAGCGAAAAGGCGATTGAAGCGAGCGAGGGGTTCCGAGATCTGCGATCTTCAAGCTTTGACAGTTCTGAGCAGATGAAGAATCAGAGAAAGCCTGTAACGGCGCAAGAGAATCTGCAGTGGGGGATTTTGATTTTCGAGAAGTATTTATAAGAAAGAAGATGATGAACCGGTAGTTCATCAGCACGTTATTAGGATTTTGGATTATGTGTGTACCCCAATTTGTACCCCGCAGTTTTGCACAGTGTTGGTGTAAAACTAATTTTTGTTAAACATACCAACATTTGTGTCCGTGTGAATTTTTATAAACGCACCAACACTTGTGTCGGTGTCAACCATCGAAATGTTTGTGCAAACTTGTGGTGTACAAATGTGGTATATTTTTTGGTGTAAGTGTAGCATGGTTCTAGGATTTTTAATGCCACTGTACGCATTTGATTTGTAAACACACTATTTTTCCATTTTTCCATGTCATACAAAAGGTATGGGGTACATTCTTTTAATGTTTAAATTATTTCTTTTAGTTTTGAATATTTAATTAAAATTATTTTTAATTTATTTTGGTTTCAAAATGTCCATGGTAATGATGTTGATGATAATGCGAAAGTTGATACAGAAATGAACGAGAAGGATTGAGTAAATCGGGATGCATTCTTTATTTCTCTAACTCTTACGTTTATTGTACTCTTTCCATAGTGACTCTCATTCCTATCCCCTTGTGTTTTGATTTAATTCCTTGATACTTTGGTTTGCTCCTTTAGCCTTTTTGCTCATGACAAAAGAGGTGAGAGTATGGTCGCGATGTTTGTGCTTGCAGAAGTGCTTGCATGCAGGAGGAAGTTTACTCTAAACTCTTTACAAATTTTATGTTAGCTATTTTCTGATATCTTGTATGTTGTGTTGTGGCATGTGTTTTTCAATTGGTTTCAGAATGTAGGTTATATTGGTTTCAAGCCCAAGCATATTCAAAAGGTTGGGTTTGTCACAGACCTCGCAAAACTGACATAGACCCGATAACCCGAACAAAATAACTCGTAATCGAACCTGAATTGACTCGAAATTTTGTATTTTATCGTCTTCGAACCCGAATTGACCCGAAAACTGAAATTAAACCGAACATCCAAAATAATCTGAACCGAACTTAATGTATTCAGATCCGATTCAGAACCAAATTCGATTTGACCCGAACCAGTTAAACCAGAAACCAATTAGACCCGAAACCGATTAGACTTGAAATTGATCATATTCATTAATATATCATTTATCAAATGAACTTGAAGAAAAAGAATTACCGATATATTTTTACATATGTTGATGTGTTTCTAAAAAACATATTTAAATTATGGGTGCAAACCATGCAACTACTTTCATGTACAAATCTTTTACTCCGTATTTTATAACTTAAGTTAAAGGGTTTTGTATTTTATCGTCTTCGAACGTAAAGTTTGACCAACATCGTCTCTACAAAAATATTAGCAAACAATATTAAAAATAATACATTTAAAGTGTTTTTTGATACCAACAATTTGGCAATAAATTTTACTCTTTATATTTTAATTCATTATATATTTTTATATATAGTTATTCAAATATTTGACACAAAGTAGAATGTTAACTAAAAAGGTCGCGCTGAAAACTTTAGGAGAGAAAACTTTAGAATGTAAACAGTAAGTCAATTATGTAGGTGTTATTTTTTATGTACGCCCGTGTTAAATAATACTCCCTCCGTCCGGAAAAAATCTTCCTAGTTTGACTTTTGGTCATTTTTAGTGAGTGTTGACTTTGACATTAAAATGTCCAAAATACCCCCATATCTTTTTGTTAAGCCCCAGGCTGCCCCCAGCCAGTATCCTACCA